ATTTTTGGTTTTTATTTTTTGAAGTGTTGTCATTTCTTGGTTAAGATAATTGATAATGAAATCCTAGCAGAGAGAAATTTTACCCAGATTCTGCCAGAGTGCCAATAACCACTGAAAGGATTTTTACAGAAAAAATTCCTGCATACTTTAAACCCAGGCGAGGTTGACAAAGAATTCCTGTTACCTAGACCTTGCCACAAATCTTCCCCTGTGGCAAAGGAATGTGGTGGCTGCACAGGCATGTGGAGGCTGTAGGAGCAGGACAAAGAAGAACAACACAGCAGCATTTAGAGGGGAGGATTCATCCCTCTGCAGATCACTTTCATGTTCTCTGTACCGTCCCAACTGCCCTTTAGCCCCCATGTGCAATTCTAATCTTCTTGTTTCCCTTCCTATTTTCTCACCTAATTCACATTCCAGATTTTTTTTTTTTTTTTTTCTGGACAGCCTGCAGAAATTACATCACCCTTTTATCCTATTTCATAGTCTACATGTGTACAATAAAAAATGAGGAAGTAGCACAGAAATCCAGATTAAGTAGAAAGAAGTCTGGCAGGCTCATCTTTGCTGGCTGCAAAAAGACATAATACAAGAAAGATTTTGAAGCATTTTCCCAGGCTATTTCTCCAACTAATATCCTTGTCAAGAAAAACACAATAAACTATCAGTTGGGTCTGCAAAGAAATGCTCTATTTTTAAACTGGAAACTCACACTGATCTCCACATTACTATCAATACAAATGTGTCCCAAGGTAAAACAACTTACCAGAGCTTTGCAGCTGCACCACCCTGATTATTCTTTCACAAAATGTACTGTAGAAACACCAGACCTGCATAATTTCCATCAGTGGCACAGCCAGCTCTCACTAGGTGTAGCACTGGCAGGTTTTAGCCAAGGAAGCAGTTTGCCATGAGCTTTGGCTGTGACAGACCACATGGATTCTTCCTCGACCTTTCTCTTTGTGTCTCAGGGCAGAGAATGAAAACTATACCAAAGAAAGGAACAATCCCAAGAAGCAGATCATAGTCAGGCTCTGGAATAGAAGGCATTCAAAATACTTTGCTGGATCGTGGTCTTCAACATGTATCAACCCTTTATATCCATGATCCACATAGTCTTGCTGTGAAGAACAGAGAAATGTTCTCACAACCCTGTGTGTCAGTGTGTTATGACATGTGGCTCTGGCAGTTGCAGCTGGGTCTACAGGACCTGGGGTTTTTGTGTGTCTTTTCTAATGAAAAAGATGCTGTTTAACCTTTATCCAGCTATTCCTCAAACCAGAAAAAAGATAAGAAGAAGCCAGTGCTGTGGTGTCCTTAAGGTCCGTAATACTTAAATCCAAAATATTATGGAATGTCCTTTTATTTTGGTGCATCATCAATCAGAAAATAACAAATGGAAAGAAGTGAGGAGTTTTTATGTGTCTGTAATGCTTCTATCTGCTTCTGTTTCCCATTGTTCCCATCTGGACTATCTAGATTGCTCACTAAGCTGCTGGCATTGAGAGGCATCCTGCATTTAAGCAATTCTCAGGTGCAGCTCATGAACTGGCAAGGCTCTGACTTACAGAAACTAGATGGGTTTGTGACTGAAGCCAAGATGATTATGCAAGCTTGTACAGATTCTCTGTACCTTGGAAAGAACACAACACACACTGAAGTCAGTAAGTTATACAGCTTCCCTCTATTAAAAGAACTATTCCTGTGTGCATTTTCAAAAAATCCTCCATGAAGATAAAAAGCATTATCCCCGTTTCCTCCGCTTTGACCTTTTTGCTTCAATTCCCATTTAATCTTTCACTGATGTTCCTGTTTTATTATGACAAGAAGCCCACCCAGAGGAACACCTGAGAAAAAAAGCACTCTGTTTTTCTGTGCTGAGTCATGTAGAGTGTTTCCTTCCCCAGTTTTAAAATTTAGTTGGTTAATCGCTTTCTTCTTTTGCTGCAACTAATGAACATTGCAGCAGTTGTAGACAGCTCAGTGTAATAGATATTCCTATATTAACAGTATTTATATAATCCAGATTTTGAGTAGCATTTAATACACATAATACCTTACAGATCCAGAGCTGAGGCAGTGCTCTATAGGTGCAGCCTACTGCTTTAGCCTTGTTTCCTAATCTAAGTTCCTTTTCCTTCTTATCTCTCACCCATTCAATAACTCTTGATTGAACTGACCACACAGAACTCTAAAAGATAACATACATTCCTGCAACTTTTGTGAACATAAAGAACCATTAAGATAGAACATGACTCTGAGGGTCATGATGGAAGGAAAGCACATGCTGCAGCATGCCTTGTATATTATTCAGTATCACAGAAATCCCAAGAGGGAGCAGAAAACAACACAAATGTCTCAGTATCTGGGAAAGAATTCATTCCAAGTTTACAGCCAGCCATGAGACAAGAATCTGCAAGAATGCAGGTTTTGCCAGTTCTGGTGCTCTCACAACTACTCATTTCATTGAGAGAGGTCAGCTCAAAAACCAAACCAGACAATTACATAGCATGGCTGTACAATTAGGATACATTTCAAACTGCCAAATGTATTTTTAAAAGATTAAAAGAAAGGGTGAGTAACTCTCCAAACCAGGACATTCATCTTGAGGAAGGCTGAACAATGCAGGGTTCTGTGATTTAACAAATTTTTATTTAAAATAGAAAAGTAGCTGCAAATTTGCTAGAATGGGGTTAAATTTGGGCTCAACTTACTTGTTTTTGCAAGCCAGTGCTTTGTAGCTTCACCGAGTTCATTTTTAAAATGAGTGTATGATTAGACACTGCATCTAAAGAACCCATGAAGGGTAGTGGCTTATGATATGGTAAAAACAATTTTCCTGCTCCACCAAATACGCCCTTGTGTGTATTTATGTGCCTGTTGCTAGTTGGCAAAAAAGCCACTTGGTGTGATTCATCATCATCACATTCACTGCTCCATTCAGCTCTCCTTGAAACTGGAAAGCTTTTATTTGCCTATTCACCTGCAACAGTGCACTTTGGGGAAGTCTACTCTGTAAATATATTTTTTTCAGATCAATTCTTATCTCCTTACTTGCACATGCTTGCCTTGTTAATGGTACGTACCATTAAGAGATATGAAAACCACAGACTTCTCATACCCTTACACAGTGAGAGCTGAACTCAGGTTCCCAAACCACAAAGCAGTTTGTGGTCTCCTGAAAAGCAATTTTAAGCAGCAAAAAACCGCTCTGACCTCACTCAGATACATTGCTCAGGACTCAAGCACATAGCAGGGACCACACCAGCAATGCAGTGGAGGTGGCAGCACACTTGGCTGGGTAAGACTTGAAGCCCAGTGCCAAGAGCTCCTCTGTTCTGCACAGCCTCCAGCTCTCTGGGTGGCCTTGGGCCCTGCTCTACAAACAATTCCCAGCACAGGACTTCATTATGGGAGGTCCTCCTGACTGCAGCAGCACCACTGGAGCCACACATCCATGGGGACCTGAACTCTATGAGCTCAGCTACCTGACACTTCATCCTTGAGCTAAGCAAGGAAGGAGCAAGAGATGAGTAACTTTGTACCATGTGGTTGGAATTTTATCTGTCAGTCTCCAGTACAAACTAAGGCCCTGCAGGAGCCTTGTAACTCGTGCTTTGCTACCCAAAATCACAGGAGAAACATGAAGGCAGGGATTTAATCCTTTCCATTTAGGATGACTTGGCACCAGACAATAAATCACACAAAAGCTTTTAGTGTTACCATGTTCCACACTTTAAACAGAATCAGAAAAAGCCAGGCTTGTACCAGTACATCTTCCCTCTCTGACTCGCACTTATCCTGAAATTATTGTGTATTAAGATAGAGGGTTTAGGGTGTTGTATCTTCCTTCTTCTTCATCTTCTTCTTCTAGAGGTTTTTGGGTAAAAGTTGATTGGATAGAAAATGCCACAGTGCAGCACAGAAGTGTTGGGTCATTGGGTCACTAAGAAAAATGTGTCTATAGTTAATTGGGCAAGAATGAGTATAAAGATAAAAAAGCTGTGCTGTTCAGGCCATTTTGTGCCTTTCAAGCCAATTTGAGCCAGGCAATGGTGGGTTGAACTTGAGCAGAAAGTCTGGGGAAGACCTGCCAAGTCTTTTGATATATATTAATAAACACAAGAAAGAAGTAAACGAGTCTTTGGAGAATTGTTCCTGAAACAGAACTGAGATAGGGGAAACTCCCCTTTGAGGGAGTATCCCAAGGGGCTCAGCCCTGAGGAGACCAAAATCTCCAGCACCATATTACTTTACCCCTTTAGCAGCTTGCAGCAGCAGCCAATAAACTCATCTGGTTTCAGCTGCTTGCTAAGAGTGCACTAATGGAAATTCTTTGGTGATCTCGAAGGTTTTCTGTACCTGTCTCCTACCAAGCTCCTTGCTGCTAGAGGGATGGACAGCATCAGCTTGCAGCAATATACTACAAAGAAGGAATAAAAATTATTTTTAAGTCCTGAAGTTGCCCATTGACAGACCTCACAATTCAAATAAAGACACCTACATATGTAGAAATTAGCAACCAGCAGCGAAAAGCTGAGTTCTCTTATGAACATGACATGATTCTCCAAGGTTTACCACAGTATTGAAGTAAATGAGCACAGATAATACACACACATAGATGGTAGTGCTTCCAAGGGCATGGCCTCCAGGACTCATTTCCCAAAGACGTCTATGGGAGCCCTGCAATGGTCTTTCCAAAAACATTTTGGTCAATGACAAGTAATTCTGGAAAGCTCTGTCATCTGCTAGGGGATAACTGCATCTTGCAGACACCTGGGCATGCAGGCAAGTGACAGGGACAGGTTCCTGCCCTCTGAGCAGATCCACATCTGTCCAAACCAGCACATTTCTAGACATTGGCCTAACAACACAGAAAATACCAAGAGCCAGTGTGTTAACAGTGTTTCACACAATAAGAGACACTGCACACATGCAGAGTTTACACAGGGATGCACAGGAAACTGATGTGATGAAAAACAAACCACAGGAGAACAAAATTAAAAAAGTGTCCTAAAATGTGCATTTTATTTCATATAATTATACAATGTTTACATACAGGTATACTTTTAAGACTGCTCAAAGAAAGTGTGAAAAAAGTGAGGCAAATATCAGTTTAAAAATTCCTCCCCTACCCCAAATCCCCCACAAATAAAATACATTTTAACACAATCTCTTCCAAATTAATGTTTTGTCCTGAATTTATTGACTCTTTCATTTCAACATGAAAAATACAATTGAATGAAAACTCAAGGTGAAATGCTGACCTACACTTCTGTATTGAGTTGCAAGAATACAATTTAAAACCTTCAGAAGCCTTCACTTGTCTCCACTGCTTATATATCTTCATTTTACTGAATTAGAAGGCACAGAAAGTCCAAATTCTCACAGATCAGTCAAGTTATGATAAAAATAAATTACTGTGCTGGACAACTCCTGACTTGTCTGATATCAAACAAAAGACTTCAAGTAGAACCTTTTGTTGAAAATAGCACCATTTCCACCTGATCTCTCTTGAACATGAATCATTCTTCTCGTGTAAAAACTGTAGTTGGCACTTGAGGTGGGAAACTTTCTGCCACAGCCAGGATTCTTCAAGGACTAAGCAAACCGAATTGCTGAACTCTCTACAAAGTGTAGGTAACATTTCTGTTGGGAAATGGCACGTTTAACCCATAATGTAATGTCACTTAACCCGCATATGGCTTGCCCATTTTGGTGTTTCCCTGACCCCTGCTTGATAATTAAGCAGATGTTCTTGTGACTGTGGTAAAACTAAAATAAAGACATGTTTATGGGGCTCCACGGCAAGCAGGTGTAAGAATAATAAAACAAATAGTGTGGTTGCCACTAAGAAGGTTTTCACATGTTGTTTAACTCCAGTAAAGTTTGATCCAGCATCTGATGCATACTAAGGTTTTCTTCTTTGGCATGCGCCACTTTCTCTGTTGTGGGATTAGAAAATTAAAACATGAATAGCAGTTCTTTGGAGACACTGATTCTCAGAACATGAAGGCATGCAATCATCACTTCTCTCAGAGGGTTTAGAAAGTTAAGAAATGTGCATGCTCATAAATACCAATGTTTCCAGATAACACAACCAGAGAGAATTCCAAACTAATAAAACAAACAGCAAGTAATGCAAGTTTAGAACTATTTACAGCTGCATTTGTTAAGAAAATGCACTGCCAACACAGACACAATGTTCTGGAAGCTCTTTCCTTATAGGTTTGTGAGATAATAAGTGCCTTTTTTAGTTTTTGGGGTTTTTTTCCCTATAAAGTAGGCAATAAAAAAAATAAGTTCTTTGCAGATACACAATTATAAGTTTCATAGAATTCAAAAATACAAAGAACAAACAAATTACAACTACAATAGTTTTCAGTGAAGTGACCTTTAAGAAACTTATTTATTTTAGAAAATAAATAAACTCGAAGTTAGTAGCCTTATGTTGCATGCACATTTTAATAGGACAATCACTTAACACACATAGTTGATACAATAAATGAGCATAATGTTCTGGTGGTGCATCCTACTGGGATCCAGTAATATTAACTTCATACTATGCAAGCATACCTTTAAACTGATTGGGTATTGCCAGATGGAGCTCACATTCTTTTTTTTTTAAATGTCAAGTACAAGCCAAATTCATAGTAAGGCAAAATTATCACATCAAAGTCTCCGGACAAAACAGCTGTAAGTATCCTTTAAGCTGGTTTTGAAATACAGAAATATGAATTCTAGTGAATATTTTTCTCTCACTGTGGTAAAAACCTTAGGGCCAATTCATGCTGCTGGATAAAATGGGTGCCTTTCTGCAATGCAGGCTATTACTTTTTGGATATTGTTAGCGAAATGCTGTAGCTCTGCTCTTAAGTGGAAAGAAGCTACTTCACAGCAGAAGAGCTTAGTGCTCCTCCAAAATAGGTGTGTAGACACTTAATGAAAAGCCTCATCCAGAAAAAGCATTTCCTTATTTTCCCAAGAGAAACTGAGAATTTCTTTCATTCATTTACCACAGAATCAACAGCTAAAAAAAAATAAATCAATTTCTAAGCTTCTTGCTGATTTTTACATTTACTGATTCATTCTTTATGGAAATTTGGAAGAAGTTGTTTCAAACAACTTAAAAATATAGTCAGACTAAAGTTTAATCCTCATTCAATGCCAGCTTTAGTTCATTAGTTAGGCGGCTGTTTTGCTCAAGTTGCTGGTAGAGTTGGTCTGTACAGGCAGCAAGCAGGTTAGAAGGGAAAAAAGAGGCAGAATGAAGACAGATTAGACAGAGAAAACAGTTAAATAAGAGTTAATAAAGAAACTGGTCACATGACAGACAGTTCAGTAACATAGAGAGAAACATTTTACCTCTGTTTCTAGAACTCTAGTAATTAAATAGCTACTCCAAGGAACAGCTATTGTACCACATGAAGAACTGGCTAAGAATTCTGTTGTGGGGAACAGCTGTGAGACACAAACTGGAACAGAAATGGAAGAACTGCAGCTATGTTCCTAGAAGTACTGTCTTGCTTTAGTCTTCTGTACAACTGTGAAAGAGTTTGTTTACTGGTTTTGTTTACTGAGTGCCATTTTTCCTTGCAAACTATTTAAAGTGTGGTGGAATCTCATCTGCCAGTAGAGATAATGCAATTGCACCACAGCCAGCATAAGAAACAGCAGGAGAGATACTCTAAGGCAACTACCACCAGGTCTGACTCAGCCCATACTTCTTTCCTAGGAAATCTGATGGTCTAAAATGTTATTTTTGACAGGAAAATATACTTGTGTTACTGGAATCAACACATTTTGATACCTTTAGATTGCCAAGTTTTACTTTGTAAGAAAACAGACTGACATTTGGTGAAAATGAAAAGGAAGGATGAACACCTTGCTCAAAAACAGAGGGGACAATTCATGCTGAAATAGAACAGCCACAGCCACGTTGTGACAGCACATTTAGTGAGAGTTGCTCTGCAGAGTGAAAAAAATGTTCCACAATGGCTTTTGACTATCTTGTGTTCTCAAATTGTCCATGTTCTTCCCAATAGCCTAACTGCACTCCTGACCTCTTGATCCCAGATTATTCCCCTACAGGAAATGACTGTTTCTAATTATTTTCCACAAGCTGCCTAACAGCTTCCACAGGAACCCTCTTCCCCTGCAGGCACTGGACAAGGCAAAGCTGCACAGTGAGCTGGTCTGCAGGACATGCTTGCATGGTGAGCAACTCCTCCCAGCTTCCTCTCTAGCCCAAACTCCCACAGCTAGCTCAGGAAAGCCAGGCACATTTCACAGCTCTCATCCTGCACCAGTAACAAATGGATCTTGTCCCTCTCATCATGATAATGATACGTGGAAAAAAACACTCAAACCTTAGAGTAAGTAAAATTTCACTTTGTCTGGCAAGGTGTATATAGTTGTTATTCAAAAATAAGTCATGTGAGCTTACGCTTACCATCATCACAGAAATCTCCTCTCTGACTGAGGCAGAGACTTGCAGTATTTCTCAGCTTCCAAAACAACTAAGTCCCCCAGAAGAGCAGGGAAAGCACTTCCCTGTGCAGTGAGCCCTTGATTCCCCATGGGCCATGTGTCTATCTGCTCCAGCCAGAGCCAGGCTCTGCAGGAGCCCCAGCAGCTGAGCAGGGAGCTCTGGCTCTGCAGAGCCAGCACGGCTCAGCCTCTGCTCAGCAGAGCCCTGCACTCCTGTGAAGAAGCCTCAGGCACAAAACCAGCCACACAGGGCAGCTACAATCCCACATCGGAGCAGGGAGCCGCAACAACTCCCTGGAATGAAGATCAGTGCAGCAGGACCACCCAGGAATTCTGCCTGGAGATCTACAGTGCCCGTTCCCAGCACTCTGCTCAGCAACCTGCCATCCTTCAGTGTGCAGCTGATCATGCATGACTGACACAAAAGGCAAAATTTTAATACTGATCTTTAAAATCACTATGTCAAAAACTGACAGATTCCTACAATGGAATCTGCTTTTTTTGTTTACTTCTCTTAAGGAACACCAGTATTGCAAGGAATTGAGTGGACAAAAAATTCCTCTAAGACAATGAAACAAAACACAATAGATTAAGAAGCTGGAGTTGCTGTAGCATATTTTACTCTGGTTCAGATGACAAATTACAGTTGAACACATTCCCCCTAACGCTTGCATTTGTGAAGTTATTAGCCTCAGTCATTTTACAAATGCTTATCCCATCATATTTGGTTAACTTTTATATATCCCATTCTATTTGGTTACCCTTCACACACAGCTGCTTACTGTATGTCAGCTGAAGAGCAGTAAGTTACTGGACTTTATTACTTGAACAATCTGTGATTGCTGATACATATCCTGTATTTGGGCTTCTCCCCCCAGCCAGCAACATTAGGATGTGCCATAGGCAGAAAACTGGGATTTGCCAAAGTTATCCACAGATGGCAGGTCAGGAAGGGAATGCATCCATTCACAAGGCTTATTTGGAAAACAAGTTCTGAGAAGGGGAGAAAATCTACTTTAGACTGCACTGTTGAATAATCTTGAAGCTGAACTAGAAAAGACATTTCCATTATTCTGCAAGTTAAAAATTACAATTCAGCTATGATATAAGCAATTTCTTTAGCTTTGGTGACTTCAGAACTTTAGCAATATACAGTTACAGCATCACCAGAAATCTGTCCAGTTTTTACTTTCATTACAGTTCACTTTCATGTGAACTGGAAAATAACTTCTTTCACTGTGATGTAAATAAAGTTAAAATAAGGCAATGAACTCCCTAGTTGCAAATAACAATACAAAAAAAGCACAAGATGTCAGCATTAAATGCTCCATCCTTAATTAGACAGTGACAAATCAGCTGAAATCTGAAATCCATGATGTTCCACTTTGAAGCAGAGTAATTTCATTAATAGTATAATCATGAGAACTTTCCTACTCCAGCTTTGAAACATTTCTCATGAGTCTGCAGTTCAAACTCATAAGTCTGAGCCAAACACAGATGGAAAGCTACCAAATTGTCCTGAATGAACTTCCAATCCTATCATGCCACTCAAGAAAAATATATTGTAAAAATCCCAAAATGTTAGCAAGCATCATCTCTGCTGAATAACCGAAGTGTGGAAAAGGGAAAACTTTTTCACAAGACATTTCAAGGATAATTTTTGGGTGAAAAAAAGAATTTAAAGTTTTTGCTGCTGCCTCTTTAAATCTGTCTCAAATATATAAGTTAATGAACAAACACATTTAAATAAAGGTAAGAAGGCTTCAGCATAAAGCTAGGAAAAGATTTCAGGCTTTAAAGTGAAAAATGTGGTTACATCAAGGATGTAACTGCTCTCTCAGCCATGCTCCCACGACCAAGTGATCCCAAGGAAGTACTGTCCTGGCAAATTTTGTCCTAACAATAACAACTGGAAAAATTCCTATTACATCTATTTGTCATTTTATCTGCAGCAGAGTTTAAGAAAAAACTAAGATAATAATTGGTCAGTTTTCACACCATCCCACACACTGCACTCACTGGCTTGGCATTGTCAACATTCAGGCAAAAGTGTTTTCAGCTAACAAATGAAAACACCAAAAAATGAAATCCCTAATGACATAAAAGCACAGATTTTATTAATAACTTAAATAGTTATTTAAATAAATAAAAGGCAAAGGAATAGCAAAAGGGATACAGCTGGGATATTTATTTTACATTGAGAAATGTAGTTTCTGTACAGCAGAGCACAAAAAGAGCATGTTCTGAGACAGATGATAGAGGAAGAGTCAACTAAGCTAGAAGACAGGACAATGAACCCATGAAACATCCAAAGCTTGGAAAGATGTTTTATCCAACCCAATGAAGATGTCTTTGGAGAACTGAAGCAAAGAAAATTATCTGCATGAAAAGAAAAAGAGATAAGGTAGAAAATGAAAAAAAAGGTACAGTAAAGGCTTCCAAAGAAGCAGCAATGGCACAGCAGAGCCCAGCATGCTGAGATGACAGTGCTAGAGAAACAGCACACCATGCTGGGACTGGAATGATACAGTCATTTCCTCATGTACCAGCAGAGTACAATTTTAAGTCTGTTTTCCACTTAGAAATATCCAAAATTGAAGAAATATTGCAATCTCTGTATACAGAGGAGGAAGAAAGAAATCAATTTGCTTGATAAGCCACTGAACAAAACCATATGTTGGGAAGGAATTTAAAAACAAAAAATCAAAGCATACAAAGCAGGCAACATTTAGTAGGGACTAAACTATTGGTAAAGAGGTGGAGGAAAGTCATGAACAGACATGGGGACAAAAAAACATTCAAAATATGGGTGGACACAAAATATATTTCAAGCTCTAAGCAAACCTTATGTCTTTTTGAAAGCATGTCTAGGCTTCCAAAAGGGAATGTTGGGACTAAACACTGCACCTGAGAGCCACAGCTCTTCCCCCTTCCCATGTCTGCTGCAGTGCTCATGCATGGGAAGGTGGAGGCAGCACAGCTGACCTCTGTTCAGTGTCCGTGGAACAAGAGTCAGTTTGTGTCAAACACTGCACTGACAAGTCACACCTTACAGCTGGCTGATTCTCTCCTGCCACTCTTTATTCTTCTCCTTATGACTAGAGTTGGTATTACCACATTTTTGGTGTATGCAAATAAAATTACTATTGCTATCCAGAAAATACGCAGAAGCAACCTACAATTCAATTGTTGCCTTTACAGGTTTAAATGACAAGGTATTTTAAATCCATTTCCACACATGTAATTTAGTGACAACAGCTGAAATTTTCAGAGCTGTTATAGAAATTTAGATAAACACTTTCTACTGGCATTAATAGAGAACACAACTAAATCTAAATTTCTCTGACATTTTTGTAGGAACTTTGCCAGAGCAAAAACTGTGACAGCAGGCACAGAAATACACTTTGAATACAACATGTACCACAGCAATTTTCTTTTGTAAAATGAATATGATAAGCCTGCTGGATAATGTTTGAACAGAGGTGAACTGAAAGGATAAACACAGAGCTACAAACAAAGGGCAACCACAAGACACAAGGACTGCAGACACAGAATCAGAGAGTAACCACAAGCTTACAAAATCACCATGAGTATTTACCAGGCTCGGCACAACACTCACCCACACTTTGCCAGGGTAAAGCAATTGTTCATGGTATTTTGTACACCTATTCTGTCTAAAGGAAAGCATCTCCCACCACACAGGGAGCATCATTTCACAAGGCCGGTAGTGCGCTATCAGTGAGGGCAGGGAAGCAGGAGCAGGCACAAGCTGGGAAGACATTTACATGGAAGTCATATCATTGAGAGCGTGGTCCAGCTCCTCACTGATGGCTTTGTACTTCAGTTTCTGAGCATAGAGCTCATCTAATGTTCCCCCAGGGAAGGCAGAGGTGTGCAAGGAAATGAAGCAGGATCATGGGATGGAAGGTGAAGGTGGTGACATCCAGAAGCCGTAGGAAATGGGAAGAGTGCACAGAAAGAAGTGTTGCGACAGACAAAATGAAACAAAATTAGAGAAGAATAAAAGAAAGAAAACAGTGAACAGTTCTATGCAAGTTCATTAACTGCACTGCCAATGGGGCAGCCTGTGATATACAGAAAACCGAGAAAGAAAGAGTACAAAAGAAGCAAAAATCCATGTTTCACTGCCGTGGATTTTTGTTTTAATACTTTTTTGTTTTAATTAGGAAGGCACAAAGGAGCTAGGGAGAAAAGATCAAAAAACGTGGCTTAAGGAAGATACTACCATTTTCTACCACCTTTTTTTTTAAAAAAACCACTCTGTTTTGTGTGATGTCAAACTCAGCTTCTTACAGCAATTTTTATTCCTTCTAAACACTTACGTTTCTTCTCTGCTTCCTTCCTGAGTAAGGGATCATAAAATTTCAGCAGCTACTTAGGCATTTCATGGCCTTCATGCAGAATCCAGCCTGTCATGCCACGCAATTTAGCTTCTTCAAATCCTACACTTAGTGTAACGCATCTAAATAGTGAACTCCATGTAACTTCAAATTAAAAAGTCCTACTGAATTATTTTTTCCAGAGGCAGAAAGCACATTCCACTACTCTGCTGCAGTTCTGACAGATTCATCAGAACCTTACAAACAAACCCTCTGAATATAAATAAGCTGTCCTTCTGATTATGTATACAATCTATTAGCTTTACCAAAACCCAACAACTGGTCTATGTCACAAAATGCCTGCCCCAGCCCACACTTTTCACAGTAATGAATTAGGTTAGTTTGCTACATTCCTAACTATTGCAAACATAATGCAACTCTTCATCAGCTTTTTACTGAGGTGATAATAGCACTTGTCATCTGATCATTTACCCTGTAACATTTATATACTCCTAAACTTCTGAAAAGAAGAGTATAAAGCAAAAAATGAAAGGAGTCTTGAGAACATAGGAGAAAAAGTAACAGGCAAGAGCAAAACACTATTCATCTGAAGCATTTAAGTTATCAATACCTTTCACATGGAAAATACTTTGTCTGCTCTTTAGGCAGACCCATTTATATAAGTTGGACAAATCGGCCCAGTAGAATTGGGTATTAAAAAAAACCCAACAAAAAGCCCCACACAAGAGAAGAATAAGAGACTTGTATTTCACAGTAAGTAGAAAAACAACCCCTCCATACCTTCTAGGTCGTCAATGCTCTTCTCCAGCTTGGTTACTGACCTCTCAGCAAACTCAGCACGGGTCTCAGCCTGAAGTCAGGACAAACACAGACTACTTTAGGAAACACACACACAGTACTTAGGAGTAGGGGAGAAGTAATTCAAATGAGCAAAAAAGTACAGTGAGAGGAGGCAAATAATAAGGCTGATACAAACTAATTTCTAGGGGAGATATTTAACATTAAACTGTTTCCAAAATGGTATGGTCATTCTTAGGGCATCAAAGTAGTGTTAATACTAAAAGAATCAAGGGTGCATTGGAAGATGTGTTGCAAAGAATGACCCTAATTTTACCTCCTTCAGTTTGTCAGTCAGAACTTTAATCTCCTCTTCATACTTGTCTTCTTTCTGTGAGTACTGTAATTAGAAAGAGGATCACTGGTATTAGATGGGTATTCTAACTTTGAGAAGAAATTAGTACTGCAGTTTTAAAGAGGAATGTCTTTTGGAGAAATTTAATGTTAGTACACAGTGCCATTCTTTGGGACATTCTACAATTAACACTTAATCCTGTCAGAGTACTCAACAGAACACATGGCCAAATAATACTGACCTATTTGGAACTACAAGATATGCTATGTTCCAATAGGAGCCAAATATGAATTGAGTAGTAAATCCAAATGCCTCTATTGACAACAGCCCTGAAGAAATGCTGCAAAGTGATTGTCAAACAAAGAAAGCCCCGTTGGCCAGATGACAGTGTAAAGGACACATTCTCACATAAGTCTCTAGCCTACCTTCTCAGCCTGAGCCTCCAGCGACTTCAGGTTGTTGGTCACAGTTTTCAACTCCTCTTCAAGCTCAGCACATTTGCTGTTATTTCGGAGGGAAGGCAGGAAAGGGGAGGATGGAAGATTCAATCAAGCAAAAGAAACAGGAGAAAACAGGGGGAAAAGATAGAGAAAAATGAAAACAATTACAGGGCAAAAGAATGGCCTCAAAAGCAGCTGATCCATCACAGATTAAAAGCAACTCTTTGTGGTGCCAAATACCAGTTCAAGTGCACACGAAGACAATGACAAAGAAGAAATTTATCTACAGCTCTTGGCTTACACACAAACATTTACAGAGCTTTTACACATGAGACAGGTCAGCTTCTTTTGGCTGCACAGAAGATCAGTTTTAAAGACAAAAATCAATAAATAAACCAAAAAAAAAAAAAAAAGAGACCAAAGAAAACCACCAAAGCAAGATGCAGAGAGAGTAAAGAGCATAGCAAGGACATATTTGTTACTACTGAGTGAGCTAACTGACTATGGAAGCTGAAAGACTTGGGTTGCAGTTACACCTAAAAACTGTTTATTAGTATCAGTACCTTATCCTCTGCAGCCATTAATGCTTTCAAGGTTTGATCCATTATTCTTAACTGTTCTTCCAGCTGTCGGACTTGGCTGTTAGTGAACACATGAAATGCACAAAAGCCATTCACAAAATCAGTGTGCAGGTACAGCATGCAGTGACAAAACACACGCGCACATACACAGGAACACGTTTATTTTGGCACTGACCACTTATTTCAACAATTACAGTAAATGAGCAAAACATAGCTTTGAGCTGAACACACAGTGTGCTGCCAATGTTTCATGCAGTTATAGTTCTAGTCTAGCACCTCACATACATCTCAGGGCAGTTCCACACTTACCTTTCTGATAGCTCAGCACGCTCCTCAGCGCGCTCCAGGTCACTCTCAATGATCACCAGCTTACGAGCCACCTACAAGGATAGGCAGGAGACAATCAGGGCTATTATGTTGCTGCACTACACCTTACCTGCTTCTAGAACCTACAAAGCAGAGAGCCAGGCCTCTTCCCTTTCTGGTCAACATGTGAGTTCTGATTATGTAATATCTTCATTATTAATTTGAGAGTTATCTGACATTTTCAAGACCTCCCTTCCATTCACCAAAAGGCACCTGAAAAATTTATCTCTCCCTAAGAGCTTAGGGAGTATTCTCAAACATTTTAGTGAAGGATCTAAGCACAGATCTCCTGTCACCTTGTCCCTTGAGCTGAGTGCCTTATTTTCCTTCCACAGCTGTGAAGAGTGGTGTTTGTGATCTTTTGAACTTTAAGAGACAAAAGAGAAAACCAAAAATTACAGGCACAACCTAATGGGCTTTAGAAAGAGATGACCTGCACTCAAGAACTCACCTCTTCATACTTGCGGTCAGCCTCCTCAGCAATGTGCTTAGCCTCTTTAAGCTGGATCTCCTGGATTTCCATCTTCTCTTCATCCTTCTGGGCTCTATTTTCAATGACCTTCATTCCTCTGAAAAACAGGAAATGCAAGGTTCAGGGCTTGCCAGTTTATCTCCAGCTCTACTTCTTGTGGTATGCAACTTTCAGACAGTTGTATTCAGGTGAATGAAGCACAGTTGAGTCTTCGCACCATAGATTTAGTGCCATGCACTTACATTTCAGAAGTTCAAGGAACAAAACATGTCTTAGGAAGGAAGAAAAAGCATGATCTGTTTAGCTCTTACTGTAGTTCAGCTGTAGAATTCTTTTTCATTTTAAATTGCAGGGAAAACTCATCTTATAGAAAGGTAAGCAAAGGGTGCTGCTTCTAAAGACCTAATAAGACTGAAAACACCTGTGCTTTTACACTCATCAACACCATGTTACAACCTTTGCAGGGCTGACAGGAATCATGTCTGTGGGCCAGACTCCCCTGGGTTTTGCCATGTCAGAGCCCTACAAGCTCTCTGTGCTGTCTAAAAGCAAAATTTCGAATCCTTCATAACAAGAAACACCGTGTGTTGCACATGTCTGATCCAAAATGACCTTAAACACTTCAAAACACACTGTGAGTCTCTGGCACATTTCTTTTCAACAGACTGCATCCTTAGTAACATAGAAATACACATGCAGAATGTGTGGGTTTCTTTCACAACAAAAGGTTCTATCAAAGGTATAAGATACAATTGGACAAAGAGAAAAGATATTCCAAAGTTACAGATCTTGAGTTCCTAACTTCCATTACAAACTTCTGGAAATCTAAAGGAATTATCAGTCTCTTTCCTTTGCTCACCACATTCAGGTACCAATTCTGCCAACAGGGGAACCAAAGCCTCTTCCAGCACTATGCTATTCTCCAGGTGAGATTTTCTACCCACAACAAAAGCAAGAATCACCCAACAGCACAAGATTATCACAAGGAGCTGTCATCCAATAAGAGAAGTCTACGCTGGACCAAGCAGTTTTCCCAGGATGTGGCCTGATACATCAGAAGACCTACCACACTTAAATCTCATCTTCACAACTGAAAAAGAACCCAAGCCCAGGTATTTTGGACATTTGTACAGAAAAGCTGTAACTGAAGTCCATGTATGCAAAAGAAGAGCAGATCACACGTGTTCAGAGACCTAGGAGTGGTTTAATTTATTTCCCTAACCCACACCCTGGCAATTATGATCTTTGTAATAAGGGTAACAATCCATTCAGATGTGGTTCCACCCACCTTTCACTCTCATCTGCAGCCTTCTCAGCCTCCTCCAGCTTTTGCAGGGCAGTAGCCAAGCGCTCCTGAGCCCGATCCAACTCTTCCTCAACCAGCTGGATGCGTCTGTTCAGAGAAGCAACTTCACTCTCAGCCTAAGCACAGAAAGAACTGAAATTAATTCATAGTAAGGCACACATCTTCCCTTGTAAAAGGTTACCCCATTACCTGCTAGTGCCATTTAACAGCACTTCTGTAATTTCTGACTTCATCCACTAAAAAGTCCATTACACAGAGATATACATGATTGAATTGTGAGGCTATTGCTTAACAGAGGAAAAAAAGTGATTAATGCTTCCTTTCAATGAAGCACATCAAAGACTACAATTTGTACTAGAAAGAACTGCATGGGAAGAACTGCATGAGAAGAACTGCATCATTACCCAAATATTTTCTGTTATTGTATTTGCAGGCATTAATTACAGACCTTCCCTTTTTCTAATCAGATCAACACAATAATTACTCAATTCTTCTTCTGTTACCCCATTTCCTTTATTTATGACCTTTCACCATATTTTGTAAGAATTTCCTTGAGTTCCATAAGAAGGGTTCAGTGTAAAACCCACCTGAATCAGCATTTGCAATGAGACACCTGACACAGAAGGAGTATGAGAACATTTAAGAAGTGCCCAAATACCCAGAAGTTTTGTTTACAGGCAAGCTGTGCAAGAGTTGACAAAAAAGGCTCTTAAGCAAGAGCCCTGGTGCAGGCAGCAATCCCTTAAAACATTTTTTTTTCCTCCCGTAGTTCCATCCTCAATCTTTCCCTAAATTTGCCTTTCTTGAATTACCTGTTCACTTAATCTTCTGTACAACACCTGCAATTCATCTGCTTCTTATCATTACAAGCTATTATATATTACAGCCTCAAACCTACACTTGCTTAAGTTGCAAAGTAAGTTCTAAAACAGCCTTCTTGTGGTAACCTCATCATTAAATTTTCTTACAAAACTATATTAAGCACCAAGTATATATGCTATATGTGAGGAAGTACACACCCAAATTTCCTGTGATGTCTAGTTGAAAGGAGAATCAATCCTCTGGCAAAAACAGTACCAAAAGTATCAATTTGGTACATTTTCTTCTCTAACCAGAGGTAGCTGGACACAGTTGTCCACAGCAAAGATTTTTTTTACACAATAAGAACATAACACAAGAAAGAATTACTTACAGGCCAGACAACCTTTAACGTGAAAGTAATGATGTCCAGCTAGAATTACTGAAAGTAACACATAAACAGGGAAGCAATTATATCTTTGAACATTAATATGCATTGGCAGTGAACACATTAGAACCAGAAGGAGAAGAGACTTCATCCTTAGAGATCCATATTAATCGAAATAGAAAATATTTAGCTATGTAATAATGCAGTAGTATTCCAAACCTGTGGTTTTGGACTTCTGGCTTTAAAACAGTAAAAATTTGAACTTTCAGATTTAAGAAAGAAAATGACCTTTTATAAAGGATACCCTAGGGAAATTTGTAGTGTTACAAGTTAATTATTATCATGTCAAGACTCCTTGTCATGATAAGAGCATAAAATGTGCTTCAAAAACACAGGGTGACTAAAGTTCAAGTTTTCACTTCCTGCTCCAGTAGCTCACTAAGGATTTACCAACCAGCCTTATATGGCCCCAGTTATTCTTCTGCAGAGCAGGACTTCTCTCCTTATACGGCAAGGAAGGAAAAAACGCCAGTGACATTTGGGGCACTCCCACTGCTACCATGCAAACATAACTTGCATTTCTGCCCTAGCACTTACACACCACATATTTTCACAATGAGTGATGACATGGATAAGTCACCACTGGGTGGTAATTATCACTATTATAAGGGAGATTCTGTTTTCCAGAAGGAGGAAGAAAAATGCAGTTTTGAAAAAGTGATTACCAACAGCCCCTTGAGAGGTGTGTATTCAAAACAGAAGATTCTTTTTTAAGGGAATGGCTGCTAATCACAGCCTTGAAACTTATAACAATCTGGTTTAACAATCAAAAGCTGGAAGCTGTGCTATGTTTTGGCCACAGCTGTAGCTTTTTTGTTGTTTGCGGTATCTGTACCTTGCACAGGAAGAAAAAAAACCCCTCCCATAACAACCTAGTTGGTCACATGAAGGGAAGGGGCAGAGTCACACCTCAGCTCGATTGCTGCAGTGCTCTCCCTCCTCAAGCTTGCAGAAATACAGCTGCAATAATAAAACCCCTCATCTGCAGCCAGCAACTGACTCTTCCACACAAAAACTTCAATATCATGTAAACGTGCTCTGCAGAATTCCACACCATCCACATAAACCAACTCCAGGGAAGAGACAAACGTTAACCTTTGGGGTCCTAAACCTTACTGCAATGTAGCTGAACTCTTAAGGGAAGACTTCACCAGAAGGCTGTAATCACTCCTCCAGCACTATTCCCTCTGCCACAGAAGTTAACAGCAAAACTTCCCTTTTCAATAGAAATTCCTTAACATGCTCAGAATAACACATGTTACTGGAATAAGGAATATTATGTGTCCTTTACTCCACAAAGGTTAGAAAACAAGTACAAGTTTTTTTTAAAACAGTAACCCTTATGAAATGACTTATGGTTCTTCACTTGAAAAAACGGATACGCCAAGTGATCTGCAAGAATGCAATAGTTACACAAGCACAAGTAGCCATATTTTGCCCCATAAGGAAGATCACCTGCAAGTAACAATGAGGTTCTTCCTTTGAACTTTCTGCCCAGAATGTGCAGAAAGACCCATATTATAAGGAAATCGAACAAACACCTTTTTTTTTTCTATTGTAATAAATTACTCCAGAAGCTTTGTTTTTATGCAGCCACTGAAGACACTGAAACTGCCTCAAAGAACACTGTACATTTTACAGCAGGAAACATTAAGCTACAGCTGCTGGAACTCTCAAAGGTCAGAGATAAAACAAAGAACAGCCCTATCAGGTTTTTTTAATTGTGATTGCCACCCATAATTACATCTCTCTGCTACGTAAGCCTATGCTGCTCACACCTGATCTTGCCTCTGCCTAAAACCAAGCCTACTGTTCCTTTCCGCTGTTGGCGAGCAGTTTTGATGAATACACACCACAGATGTACAGATATACACTAGAGATGTACAGATGTACAGCGGCCAGGGCTGTACATTGTCAGAGTGCTGTCAGGTACTATGGGCCACCTCAGGTTTACTCTTACACCCTTCCCAACAGCCGCCATGCTGACTTCCCACAGATGAACCCGTCTAGATGGGGTAAGAGAACTAAGACTTGTGGAGGGAAAAAAACCCCCATAAAACCTTGCTCATAGCCTAATACAAAACAAGTAATCTCAAACATACCGCCTAAGTCCGACCTCATTCCAGCTCGGGGTTTTGCTGCTGACCAGCACACCCAGTGCCGGCTCCCCGCGCAGCGCACCTGGGCCCGGCCCACGCAGCTCTCGGCTTACGGAGCCGGGAGCGCGGGGCTGCGGCCCGGCCCGCCCGCCAGGTAACAACCATCCTGTGGGACACGGCGGCGGAGCGAGCGGCCTCGCACTCCGCCGGCCGGCCGGGGAGGAGGGCGGGGCGGCCGCGCCCCGAGACCCGCAGCCCCAAGCCCCGGGCCCAAGNCAGCGGCGCCGCCTGGCGGCACAGCGTGCGCGGTGCCGCGGACCGGACCGGACCGGACCCGGGGTCCAGAGCCACCTCCCCCCCCAAACCGCCCCCGTATGAGCGTCATAAAGTGACATCGAGCAACCCGCCAGATGCTGCTGAGCCCGGCCTGGCTCCTGAGACACGGGCAGGGGACAGGGGGCTGCAGCTGCCCCCTTCTCAGGTGGGGCGGCTCCGGGGATGGGCCTGGCTTCTGGGACACGAGTCATACCGGACAGGTCAGATTTTCTCGTCCCAGTGTGAGATGAGTCCATCCCAGCGAGCCGGCACTCCCTCCCTGCCTCTGCTCTTTTCCTAAGGCTTGAAACTATCCAAACTAATACGGCAAGTATTGGGTCAACTGCAATGTTCCAAATATACTCTGCATTGCCAAAACAAGAAATATGTCCCTAAGCTGTCAGACATATTCTATGCATACAAATAAATAAGGTATTTTCCTCCATAAAAACAAGCCAGACACTCTCCCACCCTCCACTTGAGGGAAGACTGCAAATAAAATTCCCCTCAACTAGCTTCCAAGTGCTGTTTTCCAACAGGGGAAGGTGGCATGGAGACAAGTTAGGAAGATCCTTAGTTTCAGGACGGGAATCCAGTAGCATTTCCCGCCTTCATCCTAGGCAAGCTATTTCCAAATAGTCTGCATGCTTTTCCATATAAGGAATATCTCCCCTGCATCTATATGGAGTTCCTTTGAACAAGCTAAGTAAACGTCCTGCTAGGAAGCTCCCTCTCCTATGGCAGCCATGCACAAAGCAGACATTTGATCCACATTATACATGGATTCCTCTCCCCTGTTCCTTTGAACACTTCTGTTTGCAAAGTTCTTGAGTTCTCTTTCAAAGCTATATAACTTAATTGCCATACTGAAGCTAATCCTTTTTTTATCTTTTATTCCTTTCAGAAGTGAAATAAGATTAAAACAGGTTGCCTTTCATGAGAAGTTGTTTGTAACGTTTCCGTTTCTGAAAGTATCCTTCTTCCCCCTGAAATACTTTGCTTGCTTCATTTGTGGCAACTCCTTTTCACTAGGGTGTTGAGGTTGACTTTTAAAGTTAAGCTCTAGGAAAAGGAGGGTCATTGCTTTGGAAATACTGTAGTTTCATCTAATCCTGTAATTCAGACATGAGATTTCTCAAGGAAAATCACCTTGTCCAACAGCAGCTATAGAAATCAGGACCTTATCTGCACAGACTCTTACGGTTCCATGCAATCCATTAAATGCATGTCAGGGACAGACAGGTGGGTGGGATGAGGGCCTGGGAGAGGCACAAGCTCTTGCCTTACTACCATATAAAGTGCTGAGCTATATATATCTCCCAGCTTGCTCCCAGGATCCCTGTCCTCTGAACTGCAAAACTAGCAAGTATCATCTTCCAGACAATTTTCCATCACACAAGATTGAACTTTTCTTTGACAAGTGAAGCAGTTCCACTGATTTACAAAGGAAAAAAACAAAGTGCAGGAGAGGACATTTTATCCCAAGGACCAGTGAGCCAAACCAGTATCTAGCAGCAGTTCTAACACATGCATGCCTAGGAACAGCTCTCTTGAAAACAGAACTAGCAGCCCTTGCTCTTCTGGATCTCCCTCTCCTGCACCTACTCATTATTAACTCTGCTGTTTCACTATCAAGACAGCTTTGCTCCAGCCTGAGTCGTTTCACCCATCACCTGAATAGATAAATCATCATTTCTTTACTTTCACACCTAGAGTGGCAAGTACACATGAAAAGCACATCTCAAGTGAGCAGAAACCAAATCAGATGCCTCTGATAGTGTGCAAACCTCATGCAGGGAGGAAGTGATGTGTTTCCTACCTCCTGTGCAGGAGGTGCCTGGACCCTGCCTTCAGCAAAGCTTTGCAGTACTGCTGAGTAGGAGTCCAGGCTGTCCTGAGCAGAGGCAGTGTGTGGTTTCTCTACTGGGCTTGTGGTGAAAGGGATAACTTACATCTGTGGCCTTTTTGTCAGCCAGTTCCAACTTTTCCTGTGCATCTTTAAGGGACTCGGAGTATTTGTCCAGCTCATCCTCAGTGGCCTTCAGCTTCTTTTGTAGAGCCACCAGTTCGTCCTCCAGCTGGGATATGGGTGGAAAGTGGTGGAGAGGGGAGGGTGGGCAGGAAAAGGTGCAGCAGGCAGCGTGATCGTGCAAAGGGAGAGGTGTGAGTGCAGAAGAGACAGAAAGGACAGACAGACAGAGAGAGAAAGAAGGAGAGACAGTTAGACCATCTTTGCTTGCAGCAAGGGCACAATACCTTGGCAGCATTCTCCTCTGCGGAGAGGAGGCTGTCCTCAGACTTGTGTAGCTCTTCCAGCACTTGGTCCCTGTTATCCTCCGTCACACGCAATTGCTTTTCCAATTGCACAATGTCATCCTCTAACTAGGTGCACAAGAGGAAATATAACAAATATGTTTCTCCCTTGGCTTAGAAAACTGTGAAATTAATTTATAAATCACTCTCCCTTTCTCCTTCCTCCTTCGGGATCTCCCAGAAACGTGCAAACAATGCGTCCCCCTCCCCGAATCGAATAAAGCCCTAGGTGTAAAGGAGGGGGGTTGGAGAACAACAAAGAAGTGGGGCATGCGTCCGGAGAAGGATGGGAGGGCAGCTGGAATCGGACACATCTGCTGAGCGATGCTGGAGTGGGAGAACACAGCTTTAACTGTCCTTTGCCAAATCGCTGCACGTCTGTCCAGCGCTCCCCAGGTGCTCCGGGCAGCCTCTCTAAGCCGACCCCCTGTGACAAAGGCACAGACGCCACGTAGCTGTCCGAGGGCCCTGCTCCCCCGCTGGAATGGTGGGGACGGGGGAAGGACCTCCTGCCGCACCCCTGGGAACCTCCAGCCGGCGGCTGCCAGGCTGAAGTTCTGCCTTAGGGAAAGTTCAACCAGTTTTGCAGGGGCGCGGGGGTGGAATATAACAAGGTACGGTGAGGGGGGAAGAAGAGGGGAGGATTAAAAAAAAAAAAGAGAATAGTCTGGAAAGATTAGCGCCCCGGCGCTGGCTGCTCCCGGGCCCTCGGTGCAGACCTGCTTGCTTCTCTCCTCCGCTGCCTTCTTGTCCGCTTCGGCTTGCTCGGCTCTATCCAAGGCGTTCTCCTTGTCCAGCTTCAGCATCTGCATCTTCTTCTTGATGGCATCCATGGTGGCGGTGGGCTAGGGCGCGTCCTCGCACGAACTACTTCCGAAAGCAAAGTTTGTGAAGTTGCGGAGCAGCCCCAATTCCGGAGCAGGCCCCCGGGGAGCGGAGCGGAGCTGCCGGGCTTGATCCGTGCGGGACCGGGCGCCAGCCGTGTGCAAGCGGCGGGCAGGGAGCGCCTCACAGATATGTACTTTCCCAGGGGGCTGACTGCATTCCTCAAGACATCCAATACTTTTTTGGAAAGGACTTTTTTTTTTTTTTTTCCTTCCCTCCCTCCTCCTTTCGTCCCTACCCCTTTCCCTCTCTCACTGCCCCCAGGTCTTTTTGGGAAGCACAGCCTTCCCATTCGCTGCCGCCTGCCATTTGACCGTAGATATGACTATATATGGGATGCGATGGGCGAGGTAAGGCGGGGGAGCAATTTGTTCCCATTTCCAAATAGGCAGGACGGGACATTTCGCTGCTGTTCCTGGGAGAGAAAAAAAAAAGAAAAAAGGCAGCAAGCGGGGAGCTGAGGAGCCGGGCGAGAAGGCTGCTGACAGCGGGCAGGGTGTCTGGGTGGCTGGAGCCGCCCCCAGCCGCGGAAATCAATGTGTTCCACAGCGGGAGGCTGGCGGAGCCCATCGCACCGGGCGGGAAGGGGTTAATCGCATGCACGTACGGAATGAATGCGCTCGGAACCTACCCCCGGCAGCCGGAGGGGAGGGGAGGAGGAGGAGGGGGCAGCTCTGTTTAATAGCCCGCAGTAAATGTGGGCGGCGGGGCGCTGCCCCGGCCCCTGCAGCTCCGAGCGCGACCCCCGGGCTTTGCGGAGAGACCCGGGCAGGGCTGGGCTTCCCCCGGGAGCCGCACCGAGGGGAAGGGGCTGAGGTGACACCCTGGCCCCCGGAGCAGTGCCGGGGCAGGGCAGAGGGGCTGGCGGCTCCCAAGCGCACCGCTGACCCCCGCAGCACCTGGCCGGGCTCTCGGGCCTGCACAGAGCCGTGCCTCGGCGCCGCACACTCGGGCTCAAAGAGCGGGCGGAAAAGGCGGACGAGACCTCCTGCGACCCTCAGAGGGGACAATGGTGGGGCCAGGCCCTGCCGGGGGTACCCAGAGCTGCGGGGGATGGAGCCCAGGAAAAGCTGGGGCAGGGAAAGCAGCTACGGAGGTGACTTGCGCCCTTTCGTAATGCCAGCGAGGAACAGCAGCAGATAGACAATTAACAAAATTACATATAATTAAGTAGAGACCTATTTAATTAACTTCTGGTGTGTCTCTCACAGTCTCATCAGCAGAGTGAGCAAGACCCAACACGCTGTCCTCAGGACGCACGCTCCCTTGTACAGTGTAGAAAGTACAGGGATGTGCATGAGTCCCACAGGATTTGGGCTGCACAAAGAGAAAATTAGGCAGCCTCTTTGTCTACACTCAATGCTTGGAGCAGAAAATTCCTCCCTGGTGCTGTCACTGGATCAGCTGAAGCGATGTTACTTTGCAGGAGGAGGGAATGTGCTATAACTTCTGGCCCATGGTACTTGCCAGGACAGTTAAGGTCTGGGTTTGCAAAGCAGGCCTCGGAGGCCAGCTCCTTGTTTAAACAAGCTGGAACACAAAACTTCGGCTCTGCGAGATAGCGAAGCCTCCTGATGAGGGTTCAGACCAACAGTCACCATCCCCAGGTCCTCAGAAAGGCCATCATCTGAATTAACCTACGAAATTAACCTAGGAACTATACAAAATTCAGAGGCTCACAACTAGGCATGGGGATTCACGTGTACTGCTTCTAGGGAGCAGAAGTCCACTGCCAAAATAGAAACTTTCCTTATGTCTGCTTAAGAAAAGATGATTTCTCACTGCATTGGTTTAATAACCAAACCAGTACAACAATAATGGCAAAAAGTTTCTCTCTTTGCACTTATGTTGATTTTACACTACAGTTAATTAGAACTCGTTAAGGCCTTTCAGGGACAAGTATAGTGAATATCGAAAAGATACCTAGTTACATATTGCTCAACAACCTGACTGCTTTTTAAAATGTATCAGTATGCTTTGACCCGAGTTTAGGAGAACGTATTCCGCTGCCACAAGAGATGACTTAGAAAACATAGAGTATTATCACTAAAGGACATGAAATGATTCACACGAACACTCTCAGTGTCAAAACAAAAAAAACCCCATCTTTTATTCTTTGGCTCCAGTATTTATAGATTCTCAACAACAACCAGGGATTGGATAATTAAGTTACCACCTTCCTAAGCACACTGGTCATGAGAAATGTCCATCAAAAGACATTTCTTAGAAGGAATGTGATAAACATGTTTATAGGACTATCATGGGAAATTAACTAAAACTATAAAGACGTTATCAGAAGGCTTAATTTCAGGGTGACAGAGTATCATGGCTAGGAACTCACTGAGGTAGCTCTTCTCACTTCAGTGAAAGAAATTAACAAGAAATTAACAGAAGGGAAGAAAAACCCCTCTATTCCCAAAAATAAAAATAATCACAAAAACAAATTAAAAACAAACTTTACCTCTAAACAACTCATCGTTAAAATAATACCCCATAAATTCATAACCCATAAACACAACTATAGTAAAGCCATAAAAATAAAAAAAAATTCACAATTACAAAGTTTTTCCCAAACAACTACTATTCATAAAAATTATATAGTTACTATATAATTAGTAACTAATTTAACATCCCAAGTTTTATCTACATTATCAATTAAAAAAATTAAACAAAAAATATATTCTAAAAGTATTATTCTAATTCTCCTTATTCTTTTAGTTCTTTTAATAAAATTTCTCTATACCTTTTAAAATTTAAGCCTATTTTAGCCTCCTCCTAATCCATATCTCACAACAAGAAATAAATAAGTACACTAATAATTTTAACCAACACTAAACCCACCACACTATTTGGTGCATTGGCCAGGGAATTAATTAATTGTCTTACAAAATTAAACAAACAGCTCCCTGGCTAATTTGGGAATAGTGCTGATAGACTCTTAAAAGAATGCCTGTCCAGCTCCAGCTTTCTAAAAGAATCTTGGCCATGACTTGGGAGCCTCTAGGATACATGAGAAAGTATGAGATACAGGGAGAAGGAAAGGAACTCAAAGTTTAAACAAAAATACCTGAAGGATGGTATCACCTCCACAGGAAAAAAAAATTGTGAGGTTCTACTTATATGAAAATAAGTTCAGTTATTAAGCTTTGTTTATACAAAGATGATACCTGTATCCATGGGGCTGAACTGGCTGATGGTGACTTATTTTATTCTTTTCCTCTTGGAGGAAAAGTGACAAGTACTGACATGTGTTAACATGATTGCTATACCTTTCATTAACAATTTCAAAAACTTGGAAACTTCTGTTCCAGCTGGCCAAGAAAGATAGGCTTAGAAATTAAATAGCTTGTATAGTCTCTCCCTCTTTAATTAATATGTGAAGACAGATTGCATACAAATTATTTTTACTTATTGAACAAAGAAGGCAGCACAAACTTTGTTTTTATGACATAATACCAATTCTCTAATGTTGCTTGTCACCTCTTGTTTTTCACAATGGCTCGTCATGTCATGTCATGTCATGTCATGTCATGTCATGTCATCTCATCTCATCTCATCTCACTTCACCTCATCTCATCTCAATCTCATCAACAAATGGTGCAGGAATTCCCTAGCAGTAGTATAACTTTCTTCTGGGGAGTATCTACTCAACTCATTTTGAATTCTGTTAATTTAATTAGGCTCTTTCGAAAATCAAGACAGCCAAGCCAAAGCACCAGGAAAGGATACCTGGTTTTGGAACTCACAACTCCTTCTGTGAGCAGGTGATGCCACACTTCAGGCTTACTGACAGTATAGCACTGAGTAAGGCTAGGACATGTTTATATAATGATGTTTCTGTCATGTAGTAAAGATTTTGTGAGAGAGATGGGACCACAGGGAGACATTTCAAAAATAATGATTTATTATTTTCTTCTACAGTCTCAGGAAGGAATGAGTACGTCTTACTCTTATTCACCCTTATTCACCAGACATTCTTGGTCAGTGGTCACAAGGCCACGGGTCACAAGGTCTTTTAAAAGTTATTTAACCAATAAACTAACACCACAAAAGAATGTTTCTACTTTCACACCAATAACTAATTTATAACTTATTTTGTTTTATACGTCTCTGCTGCAGTGCGGACTTTCTTCTCTAATCATATAGTGACACACAAAACTACTTATTATACCTTAAACTTCTTATTACTTTTATAATTACCTCTATATCTTAACTTTAAAACCATAAAACTTCTTACAATTTAATCTGATGTCTTTCCATTTAAAATCACATTCTTACTTATGATTCTAAGTTTGGAAGCTTTCTCCAAGGCCTCAAGTCAAACCCTGTATCCATGTCTATATCTAAGCTTGCATTGACAAGATTTTGACAGTTTTCTGTGTTTGGAATTCCCATATCATGTCACCTATCCCTTGACATAGGCAGAAATTTGCCTTGAGGAGGATCTGCTCTTTGGGCAAAGATTGGGTTGGTTACAGGGGGTTGATTCTGATAACAGACAAAAGGGTAGGTGGTCATAATCACTTGGAAAAACTTCAAACATTCCCTTGGAGTTGCTTTACTGACTTCTTCTTCTCCTAGGTCTCTTTTTTTTTCTTTTTTTTCTTTTTTTTTCCCATAGGAATATACAGGAAATGACACCTAACAACTGGTTCTGCCAGTTCTATAAAACATTCCTCCTAAAAGACTATTACCGATTCAAATTAGGTCAGTCAGAGTGAACTCACAGGCCTGTATGTGTCATTTGAAAAGTGAAGCATTCCCTCACAGGAAGGCAAATATAAATGAAATAGAAAACAATTTCTCAAAGGTCTCTGAGACCTCTGCTGCCCTTGTTAAGCAGAAATGCTCCTTTTGGACAAAGGGAGCCAGCAACACGAGTGGATGATATTATCAAAAAATAGGAAATTGAAAACATCTGTATTCACCTAGAAAAACAAATAAAATAATAAATAGCAGATTTTCCCTGGGCAAATTGCTCATCTATGCTCCAGCCATAAGGCATGAGAAGGCCCTAAGACAGAAGGTAGGGATCCTGATGGCCAGTTCTCTGCACAGCTCAGTAGGCAGCAAACAAGTACAGAAATACCCCAGAACATGCCAGTCATGCTCAATATATGCTGTAACCCTGTAAAAGTTTTCTGTAACATTTC